ATGACCCTATACACAACAGAATGAATGAAACACTGCTCAGTCCTGCCCATCCTCACAATTGTTGCCACACTTGAGCCCATTGCTGCTGCCACTGTGCCAATCCATCTGAATGGGGGTCTTCCTCTTTTTAGCTGACCCTCCACTTTACCAAGTCCTTCTCTAGGGTCCTTCCTGGTAACATGACCAAAGTATGAGAAAAATTTCACAAACCTGGCTTCTAAGGAGCATTTTGGCTATTCTTTTTCCAATACACTATTTGTTTGTTCTTCTGACAGACCATGGGACTTTTAATATTCTTCAATACCATAATTCAAATGCATCAATTTTTCTACAGTCTTCCTTATTCGTTGTTCAATTTTCACATGCATATGAAGCTACTGAAAATACCTTGGCTTGGATCAGGCACACCTTTGTCCTCAAACTGACCTATGCTCTTTAACACTTTAACGAGGTGTTGTGCAGCAGATTTGTCTAATGCAGTATGTAATTTGATTTCTTGACTGCTGCTTCCATGAGTGTTGATGCTTGATCACAGCAAAATGAAATTTTTGAAAACTTCATTATTTTCTCCATTTTTGTTTTCTTTACATTAAGGTGCACCCCATACTGAGGCTGTGGTCTTTGATCTTCATCAGTATATATTTTAAGTCCTCTTTGCTTTCAACAAGCAAGGTTGTATCATATGCATATCACAGGTTGTTAATGAATATTCCTCTAATTCTGATGCATGTTCTTCTTCATATAATCCAGTTTTTCAGATTATTTGCTCAGTATAAAGGTTGAATAAATATGGTGAAAAAATACAACCCTTATGCACACCTTTCCTTATACAACCCTTTCAATGTGTCCTTGTTCGTTTTGAATGACTGTCTCTTGGTCTATGTACAGGTTCCTCATGACTAAAATCAAGTTAAGTGTTCTGGAATATTCATTCGTCAAAATGTTATCCATAGCTTGTCATGATCCACACAGACGAAAGCCTTTGCATAATCAATAAAGCACAAGTAAACATCATTCTGCTTTTCTCTGCTTTCAGTCAAGATCTGTCTGGCATCAAGAATGATATCCCTAGTTCCACATCCTCTTCTGAATCCTGTTTGAGTGTCTGGTAGTTCCCTGTCAATATACTGCCATAACCATTTTTGAATTATCTTCAGTAAAATTTTACTTGCATGTGATATTAATAATATTGTTTGATGATTTCCACATTTCATTGGGTCATCTTTCTTTGGAATGAGCACAATCTCTCCTAGTCAGTTGTCCAGAGAGCTATCTTCCAAATTTACTCCAGATTCCTTGGCATAGATAAGTGAGTGCCACCAGTGCTGCTTCAGTTTGCTGAAATACTTCAATTTTGTATTCCGTCAATTCCTGGAGCCTTGTTTTTTGCTAGTGTCTTCAGTACAGTTTGGACTTCTTCCTTCGTACTATCAGTTCTTGATCACATGCCACCCCTTGAAATGGTTGAACATTAACCATTTCTTTTTGGTACAGTGACTCTGTATATACCATCCATCTTTTTTTTTCTTTCTTTCTGTATCATTCAGTATTTTTCCCATAGAATCCTTCAATATTTCAAGTCGAGGCTTGATTTTTTTTTTCTTTCGTTCTTTCAGCTTGAGAAATGCTGAGCATGTTCTTCTCTTGATTTTCCAACTCCAGATCTTTGCACATTTCATTATAATACTTGACTTTTTCTTCTTGAGCTGCCCTTTGAAATTTTCTGTTGTAAAGATTACAGCCTAGAAACCCTTATTTATGTATGTCTGTATGAGCTATATATTAACTAAATATTTATTCATGGAGAACTGTTTATTTGGTGTTGTTGATACATAATTTGTATAATACACTACGGAAAGTATTATATAATTACTGTATGAAAGGGCCAGTGGAGAAACTAATTTTAAATGTAAGTATTAGTTTTTGCTTTCCTTGAGAAATGAACTAGTCCCCCAACCCACCCCAAAATATAACATAAGTAAATTGTCTTCTCATTTTGGTTGCCAGAATGTTTAGCTTGCATCTCTAACAGAACAATTGTGTGGGCTAACAGAGCTTATCTTGATCTTATCTTCTTGGCATTTTCTGCCTTCTATAATGCTGCTTTGTATCCTTTTGTTTTTCTATCTTACTGTATTTTATAATTGTCTTCAATTAATTTTGACACATGATTGACTTGTAATAAACACAATAGATGGTTATTAAGGCAGAAAAATTCCTTCTAATTTATTTGATTATACTTCTAGTTTTCCAGTTGTTGTTGTTGTTAAATGCCACTGAGTCAGTTCTGACTCAGCAACCGTGTATAGGGTTTCCGAAGAGCAGCTGGTAGGTTTGAACCTCTGACCCTGTGGTTTGCAGTCCAGTTCTGATCCTATAGCACCACACCAGGAGTCCATAGTTTTCCAGTAGTTATTGGTAATGGAGTTAGAGACTATGCAGACAAGAAAGTAAAAAGCTACAGATATATGTGAAACAGTGGAATCACAATGACTAGCATTTATTGAGCACTTTATGCCATGCACTGTTTTTATCACTTTATACAAATAAACTCACTTCATCCTTATAACCTCAGGAAGTGGAAAGCCAAGAGGCCAACATCCCATGAACTCTAAAGGAAAGTCAACCCAAGAGCAAGTAATGTACATAATTCAAGGTAAGACAAAAGGACCTAAAATATTTATGAGGTCTTCTCACCATTCAAAAGACTGAAGATATAGCTCTGTTAAATTAAACCCTCCTGGTATGAATTAAAACTGGAGTTCAAGTCTGTGTTGCACTATATATTTATTACCTGGGGTTTATAAGATACTAAAGAGTCCTGGTGTGGTGTTATAGGGTAAGCACTGGACTACAAGGTTGGTTTGAACTGCAAGATCAGCACTTCAAACTCACCAGCTGCTCCTTGGGAACCTTATACAGGGTCACTATGAGTTGGAATAGGCTCAACAGCACTTAACAACAATAAAATTTTAAAGACAATTTCTAACTTCAAAACAGCTTATGGAAAAACACACCAGAAAAAACTTAAGAACAGAATAAAAATGTGTCAAATGAAGTAGACCAATGCAGACCATTACTGCAAAGCGTTTCTAAGAATGTATGAGAGTGAAAGTATAACAAAGGAGACAGGACTATAACATGGCTTTTAAGAAAGGGTAAATACGTCTTCTGGAGATATACAAGAGAAAGGAGGACAAATAAAAGGGTGTCATGGAATAGTTTGAAAAGAATCCAAGTATGAGAAGAGAGACAAAGGATACGCCTGCCACATGCATCATCTCTTTGTTTAGAGGCATAATGGAAAATAAAGGTAAATAGATCCAACTGTGGTAGACCTTGAAGATAGGAATTTGACCTTTTTCCTGGGGACACTGGGCAACTGTGAAATATTTTTGAATAAAGTAGTAGTTTAGTCAGGCAGCTAGATAAAAACAGGTATACAAGAACAGCAACAATGCACTTCTCTAGTAATTTAGACCCCAAATACTGAGAACTTTACAGAAGCAGTAGAAATAAAGAGAAAGGAATCAATTATTAAGTCATTTCAAGGAAAGTCTAGAAAATTTATTCAGGAGATATAGAGGAATCAGTAAACACTAATTACAGGGCATTTAGTATCTACTCAGCATTCTGTGATGTTTAATAATAGCTACAAGACTTCTGCCTTCAAGAAGCTTACAGTCTATTTGAATAACCTCAAGTATCACAATTTGATAAAATGATGTTATTCTAGTCTTACCCTTGCCCCAAATCACAGAGCTGATCATGTGTGATTTTAGAAGTATGAATGCTGGGAAGGAGAAAAACATATGGATACCAGAAGAAGCTCAAGTTTTGAGTCATAAGAGTCATCAAAAAAAAAAAAAAAAGAGAGAGAGAGAGAAGAAAAGTAGCCAGCCAAAAGTGCCAATTCTGCTTATTAGAGTAGAATGACTAAGACATAAGCACTGGGTTTGTCTTTCAAAGATCAAAGCCAGAGAATATGATATTCATGAATTCTGCAAAAAGAAGTAAAAAAACAAATAGATGAACAATTGGAAGCCTCCCCCACCATCCCTGCAGATAATGTAGGAACTAACATTTCTAAGATTTTTAGGTCATTCTTTATAAGAATGTGATAAAATAACATTAGGACTAGTGTGGGTTGTGCTTTAAGGAACTTATGCTACAGAAGAAAAAAAGTGAGGCAGGAAAGAAGAGAAAATTTGTACTTATAAATTTTGAAATTTAACTTGCCTCAGTATAATTATCGCTAAATCGGTGGGAAGCTTTTAGTCCTGCTCAGAAGCCAACTCCCTTTCTTGTGCTACTAGGGCCAGGAAGTATGAAAATACACATACATCCATACACATGGTTTACTTTTACAGGAAGAGACTGATGGGAAATAGAGGGTTCATGGTTGTTTGGGGACCCAAACCAAACCTACTGCTGTCAAGTAAATTCTGACTCTTGGGACCCTATAGGACAGTACAACTGCCTCACAGAGTTTCCAAGGCTGTGATTTTTATAGAAGTAGACTGCCACATCTTTCTTCCACAGAGAAGTTGGTGGATTTTAATTGCTGACATTACTGTTAGCAGTCAAGCACTTAGTTAGCCATTGCACCACCAAGGTTCCTTTTGGGGACTTAAGACCCATGGAAGAGACAAAGTGAGGAACTGCAAGAGACCTGTAAGGCAAGTATATACTTTATATAGGGGCTCCAACTGGAGCCCTTCAGAATATTACACTAAATATGCTAGGTTTTTAAAGTCACTTATTAGTTTTAAAAAAAGAAGGAAAGGAAAAAGTTTGAAGGTTATTTATAGTAAGCTAGTAAGTGAGAGAGACATTACTATATATACATATATTTCTATCTCTGGAAAATTCTGTGCATATGAAAGGGCTTCAAAAAGTTTATTTTAAAATTCCATTATCTTTTAATTCTATTATTTCCATGAATTTTTTGAAGCCCCCTTGTCTGTGCTCTTGTGCTAACACTAATAATAGCTCAGGTGTTACTCTTTAGTGTGAAGTTGCTGATGTCTGATTAGAGTGGAACTCTGGCTGAAGGCTTTCCCACAGTCATTACATTTGTAAGGTTTCTCTCCAGTATGAGTTCTCTGATGAATAATAAGGGATGAGCTCCGACTGAAACCCTTGCCACACTCTCTGCATTTATGGGGCTTTTCTCCAGTGTGGATTCTCTGATGTTCAGTAAGGGATGAGCTTCTACTGAATACTTTCCCACAGTTACTGCATTCATAGGGGTTCTCTCCAGTGTGTGTTCTCTGATGTTCAATAAGTGATGAGATCCAACTGAAAGTTTTTCCACATTCACTGCATTCATAGGGATTCTCTCCAGTGTGTATTCGTTGATGCTGAATTATGGTTGAACGGTCACTGAAGGATTTCCCACATTCATTACATTTGTAGGGTTTTTCTTGAGTATGAGTTCTGTGATGTTGACTAAGGTTAGTGCTCCGACTAAAGGTTTTTCCACATTCACTACATTTATAAGGTTTCTCTCCAGTATGGATTCTTTGATGCAGACTAAGGTGTGTACTCCGGCTAAAAGCTTTTCCACATTCACTGCATTCATAAGGTTTCTCTCCAGTGTGAGTTCTTTGATGTTCAATAAGGTGTGTACTTCGACTAAAGGTTTTCCCACATTCTTTGCATTCAAAAGGCTTTTCCCCATCATGAATTCTACTGTGTATAATAAGGTCTGACTCATATCTAAAGGCGTTTCTACATCCATTGAATTTACAAGGTTTCTTTTGTGGGCAGAATTTCTGATGTTTTAAGTCTGAATTATCTTTGGAGTTTTTCCTAAATGTGGGTGATCTGTCTCCCTTTGAGATTTTTTGTTGTGTATCAAGGTTGGAGTTCAGACTAAATTCATTGGATTCAGGACCTCTCTCTCCAGGAGAAATTTCCTTAAGGGTCACTGACATTGTTTTTATCTCTGTTTTCTCAAAAGAGGATTTTCTTCTGTGTAGGGCTTTGTGTATGCCTTGATAACTGGCCTTCACTTTTACAAGTGTCTTCATTCATATTACCTCTTAGATTTTCCATTGTTGGCCCTGAAAACTCTAGTTCTTCAGAAGTAGCTTGATTGGTGTTGATGCTTTGATTTCAGTTCACATCTCCCTATCTGAAAGACATTTAAAGTACAAAAGTCACCTGTGTCCACTGTATAGAACAAGAGAAGCAAACTAGCAGATAAAAGACAATTAATTGTCTATTCGTGCATACTAGCAACTTTTATTTGAGGATAAAATAAAAAGGAACAGTGGAAAAAGTGTGAAAAAGGCTTGCGGAGTTAAAATGCAGAGTTTTACAATGAGTGAGCACAAAGACATTACGAAATATAGGAAAAGTGACTGGATAAAAGTTCCCCCACCCCAAATGGAAATGAACAGATATGCTATCTGATGAGCAGAGAGTAAGACATTAAAAGATAAAATGAACTATCAGTTATTGTAGCCATTAGTCACAGGATATGAAAAAGGAAAGGGATTAGAAAAGCAAAGACTGTCAAATGTAAAAAAGACCCCGGGTAAAGCAAAACAGTAAAGATGACTTTATCAAGCTTGACTGTAACCATTTTCTTGGCATGTCTAAGAGAAGATAAAATGTCATAAATGCAAATTGCAACTCTGTCACCATCATCTACCCCTCCACCCTTCCTCTAACTAGTTTAGCTATTCTTCTAAATAAGTCTACAAGCATAGACTATGAGACCTTTAACAGAATTTAGAGCTCATCTAGGCCAGTTCTCATGCTTGACAGACAGAAAACCAGTTGAGTGACTTTCCCAGATCACCCACCTAATTTTAAGAGCTGAGACTAGAACTCAAGTCTCACAAGTATCAATTTGGACGGCTTTTTATGACACAACTCACCTAGTTAGGTATTTTTTGGCCCTCTCTTCTTCAGCTCCCTGAAGATCCAATATTCACAGTTGTTCTCATTCCAACTGAGTGATCATGTCCAATTCAGGTGCTGGGATTCCTACTGATTGGAAATGATTGAACACAATGCTGTTGGTGCTGGAGACATAGAGCTACTCCAAGCTCAGTCTCAGTGCTTTGATTATGAAAAAGGAAAGGCTGACTTTCACAGGGGCTTTGTTTGGAAGGATTCAAGAAAATGGTTAAAACTGATTCTAAAAGATAATTAAGTTACATTTCCCTACCCCCAAATCACCTATAGAACTTGTCACTCCAGATATCTGGGCCTTACTCAGACCTAGTAAATTTGCTGGGGTCCAAAAATTTGTGATTTTTAAGTTTGTGCAATTTGACAAGTTGCATTATACAAAAAATACTTTAAAACTCATTCTGAATTGCCTAGACATTGTGTAAGCTGAGACCAGCCTCTCCACCAACATTTTTTCCTAGCACGAGGGTCTAAACACAAACTCAGTTTCTCATAGGACAGGTGAATTCCTCTCCTGAGGGGCCAAAATTCCCAAGGGCATCAAGATTCCAAGATACTAGACACTTAGAAATTACACTGGGGAAAGTGTCTACCACACACCAAAAAAAAAAAAAAAAGATTAAGAAGAAGGCACCTAACTTGGAAACTTGGAGGTGAGGTTTCTGGAAAATGCCCTTTGGGTTTGCATGTGCTGACCATTTTATGAATATTAACTTATTTATTCCTCACAACTTGGTGAGAGGGGTACTAACAACTATTATTTCAGTAATACAAATGAAGAACAGAGCGATCAAGTAATTTGTTCCAAGGTAAAATGATAAATCTTGGACTCAAATTCACTATACTACAGAATTGACTACCTCTCAACAGGAAGAGAAAGAGCACCTGCATCACATTGTCCTGTGGCCTCTAAATGGCCGAGAAACTAAACTCCACTAAATCTAGGAGGTAGCCCTAGGAGGCTGCAGTAAACAACAATCACTGAAAGTCTTATCTATATAACCTAAGGGTGAAATTCTTTACACATTAACTGAATTTTCACCTCAGTGAAACTAACTTTCTAGCAAAATTCAATGAACCATCAGATAGAGGCCTAAAATAGAAGTATTGACCTGAAACTCTGGATTTGGGCCATAGTTCTGCTAGTGGCTATATAAAAACCAGGGGAAAACAACCAACTTGGGTTTTGTGTCTCATCTGTAAAATGAGGAGATTGGACTTGATTGTTTTGTTGAAAGCTATTTGATTCCAGTCAGTTTAACTTAAAATCCTAAACCCTGTGGCCATCACTCATCTTTCCATTTGCCATATTGTGATGGCTTGTGTGTCTCTATGATGCTGGAAGCTATGCCAATGGTATTTTAAATAATAGCAGGGGCACCCATGGTGGACAGATTTCAGCAAAGCTTCCAAACTAAGACAGACTTGTTGGAAATGCTGTCGAGTTGTTCCCTACTCATAGCAACCCTGTATAAGAACTCTCCAGTGAGCCGCTGGTGAGTTCGAACCTCTAACTTTGCAGTTCAAACTGAATTTGTGGTTGAGTGCTTATCCTATGACACCAGGACTCCAAGACAGACAACAAGAAGAAAAAGCAGACGGTGTCTAAAGGGCTAACCATTAAAAACATTATAAATAGCAGTAGAACATTGATATAGTGCCAGAAGAAGAGCTCTTCAGGTTGGAAGATACTCAAACTCTGACTGGGGAAGAGCTGCCTCCTCAAAGTATGTTGTTGTTGTTAAATGCTGTCGGGTTGGTTTCAACCCATAGCAACCCTGTATAGGTTTTCCAAGAAACGGCTGGTGAGCTTGAACAGCCAACCTTGTGGTTTAAGCTGACTTTGCAGTCCAGCACATTAGTTCCGCCTCAAAGTATAGTTGACCTTAATGCTGTATATGAAGCAGAGCTTACAGAACCTTCATTTGCTGAGAGGGCACAACTCAAAATAAGAAGAAACAGCAGATATCTATTAATTGGAACATGGATTGTATGAAATATGATATAGAAAAATTATAAGACATAAAAAATGAGCTGGAATGCATAAAGATCTATATCCTAGGCATTAGTGAGCTCAAATGGACTGGTATTGGCCATTCTGAATCTGGCAATCATATGGTTTACTATGCTGGGAACAACAAATTGAAGTGGAATGGTGTTGCATTCATCATCAAAAGACCATTTCAATATCTATCTTGAAGTGCAATGCTGTCTGTGATAGGAAAATAACCATACATCTAAAAGACCAGTTAATATCACTTTTCTTCACATTTCTGCACCAACCACTAAAGCCAAAGATGATGAAACTAAGAATTCTACCAACGTCTTCAGTCAGAAATTTATTAAACATGCAATCAAGATGCATTGATAATTACTGCTGATTGAAATGCAAAAGTTGGTAACAAAGAGGAAGGGTCAGTAGTTGGAAAATATGACCTTGGTGTTAGAAATGATGATTGAGAGCACCCGATAGAATTTTGCAAAACCAATTAACTTGTTCATTGCAAATACTTTTGTTCCACATAAACAGTGACTATACATGTGGATTTCACCAGATGGAATACACAGGAATCAAATTGGCTACATCTGTGGGAAGACATTATGGAGAAGCTCATTATCATTAGCCAAACAAGATCAGGGGCAATTGTGAAACAGATCATCAATTGCTCTTATGCAAGTTCAGGCTGAAGCTGAAGAAAATTAAACAAGTCCATGAGAGTCAAGATATGACTTTAAGTATATCCCACCTGAATTTAGAGACCATATCAAGAAGAGTTTTGTGCATTAAACACTAATGACCAAAGACCAGAAGAGTTGTGGGATGACATAAAGAACATCATGCATGAAGAAAGCAAAAGGTCATTGAAAAGACAGAAAAGGAAGAGAAAACCAAAATGGATGTCAGAAGAGACTCTGAAACCTGCTCTTGAACATTGTTGTTGTTGTTGAAGTGCTGTCAAGTTGGTTTCAATTCATAGCGACCCTATGAGAAGTTAAAGTGACTGGAAGAAATGATGACATAAAAAAGCTCAACAGAAAATTTCAAAGGGCAGCTCAAGACAAAATAAAGTATTTCAATGAAATGTGCACAGACCTAGAGTCAAAAAAACAAAACAAAACAAAACAAAAGGGATGAACACGCTTAGCATTTCTCAAGTTAAAAGAATTAAAGAAAAAAATCCAAGCCTCGACTTGCAGTACTGAAGACTTCTATGAGCAAAATGTTAAATGATGCAAGAAGTATCAAAAGAAGTTGGAAGGAATATAAAAAGTCACTATACCAAAAAAAAAAAGGTTGATGTTTAACCATTTCAAGAGGTAGCATATAATCAAGAACTCATGGTATTTAAGGAGGAAATCCAAGCTGAACTAAAGGCATTGGCAAAGAACCAGGCTCCAGGAACTGATGCAGTGCTAGAAGTGTTTACTTCTCTATGTCAGGAAATATGGAAGACAGCTACCTGGCCTATTTGTATTTATTCCAAAGAAAACTGACCCAACAAAATGAGAAAATCATCGAACATTATCATTAATATCACATGCAAGTATAGTTTTTCTGAAGCTAACTCAAAAATGGTTGCAGTAATACATAGGGTTGTTGTTAAGTGCCGTTGAGTCGGTTTTGACCCATAGCAACCCTGTACAGGGTTTCCGAGGGTGTAAATCTTTACGGGAGTAGAAAGCCTGATCTTTCTCCCGCGGAGCAGCTGACCTTAAGGTTCACAGCCCAATTTGTAACCACAACGCTACCAGAGTTCCTTAGGGAGTCGCCAGGAATTCAAACCAGATTCAGAAGAGGATAAAGAATGAGGGATATCAACATACAGTGGATCTTGGCTGAAAGCCAAGAATCCACAAAGATGTTTACTTGTGCTTTATTGACTATGCAAAGGCATTCGACTATATGGACTATGGATAACTTGGAGAAAAATGGGAATTCCAGAACACTTAATTATGGTCATGAGGAACTGGTGCATACACCAAGAAAAGGTAGAACAAAGGGATATTGAATAGTTCAAAATCAGGAAAGATGTGCCAGGGTTGTATCCTTTCACCATACTTTTTTCAGTCTGTATGCTGAGCAAATAATCTGAGAAGTTGGATCATATAAAGAAGAACGTGGTATTAGGATT